AGTTACGACTGTATGTTTATTCCATTGCATTTTTTCTATGCCTTTTAAATAAGTGCCATCTTTAAAAAAGATAGTTGACGCATTCAGATGGGAGCATAGAGTTGAAATTAAACCATGAATTCTTAGCAGGTTTTTTTTTTATCATAGTTAAGAAATTGCACACAATTTGACGGCAAAAGTCTGACAATTCTGAAATTTGAGTATATGCATCATTTTTCTAAACAATTAAAATATATTCTGCATGGTACTTCACTAAATATATATATATATATATATATATGTTTTTTTCAGAGATAAAGATGGGGGCCTCTGTGGCCGAGTGGTCTAAGTAGTCACTACTGTAATGACTAGCCGGTCAACACTGAGGTTGTGAGTTCGAACCCCGCTCGTGCGGGTGCACTCGACTCCAATCTTAATTGACTAGGATTGTCAGCTTTCCTATCGAAGGTCGGTGGTTTTCTCCGGGCACTCCGGCTTCCTCCACCAATAAAAACTGGCCGCCACGAAATAGCCCAAAAGCGGTGCTTAAAAGTGGCGTTTAAACACCAAAAATCAAATCAAATCAGAGATAAAGATGAATCTACAGCTTGGAAATAGACATAAACATAAGCTATCAGAAGGTTACAATCTGTAATGAATACCAAACTTGAAATAGTTAAGATCCACGAAGAAATGTCAAATATAACTATATGTCAAGAACAACTTTTACAATTAGAGATACATCCTATTTCGGTGTGTAGATCGGGGACGACGGACGTCAAAGGGAGATGATCTATATAATACAGCTTTTGACAAGTAATTAAACTTAACGTTAAAGGCTACAATGTAAGCCTACAAAATCGAAACAATTTTACAGTGGTGATAATGAAACCTTCTTTACCTGAATTTATTTTAATTTATCTGGATAATTCAATTTTTTGATTTTATGTCCGTAATGTTCTTCTTTTATTGTAGCATATGGTTTTTTTTTTTCATTTGATCTTTTTCAACTTCGTTATTTCGTCCAATCAGAATAAACAGTTGTGACATCATGCATGCCATTACCATAGTGAAGCGTCCTTTATAAATAGTTCACAAACCGAAAATTTAAAAAAAAACAGCAAATAATCAAACTTTGTTTAATTTTTTTTCTCTCCAAATTTGCTTGAACGCTTCAAAAGAAATAATTTAAAACAAGGTATCTTGGTGTATTCATTGGTGTTACATTCTGTACACCCCTGATTACACTAAGATAACAAAAAAGAAACTAAGGTTTCAACTCCCTCAGGCAAAGTTGACCTTAGATGAATTTGGCTATTTGTTTTAGGTATTTTTGTCATAAAGCTCTTCAACTGTTTCGGTACTTATACATCCCTCGGATTTCAAATGTTTGGCTTTGAGCGTTCCTGATGAAGGTAAATCCAGAAAAGCGCTTCGGACGCATGAAATATAGGCTGTGTTTGGATATACGCCTAAGGTAGCCTATGGTTACCCATAGGTATCTTTGGGTACCAATGGTTTGATATTTTAATATATAGAATATCAAACCAAAGGTACCTATGGATAACCATAGGCCTCCTCTGGCGTATATCCAAACACAGCCTATTAAACGTGTTGTTTTCAATTATTTAATACTTTCCAATGACTATGGCTGTGTTTGGATATACGCCTAAGGCAGCCTATGGTTACCCATAGGTATCTTTGGGTGCCCATGGTTTGATATTTTGATATATAGAATATCAAACCAAAGGTACCTATGGATAACCATAGGCCACCTCTGGCGTATATCCAAACACATCCAAATAGTTCTGGCTGTGTTTGGATATACGCCTAAGGCAGCCTATGGTTACCCATAGGTATCTTTGGGTACCCATGGTTTGATATTTTGATATATAGAATATCAAACCAAAGGTACCTATGGATAACCATAGGCCACCTCTGGCGTATATCCAAACACAGCCTATATCACCCTTCATGCAGACGCTTGATCAATTGAACGCTTTATCAAATGGGTTAGGTTTCGCCCAGCGCGGGACGTTTGCGCTTTTTCATAGGACAATTGCGCTTTAAAAAAAAGATATTTGCGCTTTTTATATAGGACATTTGCGCTTATCGTAACAATATTTGCTTTTTATGACTTGCATTCTCTTTCATCCAGGCTTATGACCGGCATCATAGTTAGAGTCATAATTTTCTTTAAGGTAAAAAAATTTAAGAGCATAAAGACATGTGAAGTCATCACATGTTAGTTTTCGCTTGATATCTGAAGCCCAAGGAATGCACAAATTTAGCTCTTGTAATCTGTCCTGACTGGTATTTCGTCTACATTTCAAATAAATATTCTAGTTTCTCTTTCTTAATTTTTGACCGAGGTACCTGTTCAATATAACAAATTTTAATGTAATTAACCGACTGTTGTTCATTGATAAAAAACCATCGTGACATTTTTTTCCTTTACTAGTCTATTAACTTTTAACTCTATGTTTAAGACTGTTTATGTGAACTAACTAACGACAAATATAAGTTTGAATTTATCAACGTAATGATTACAAATCATTGACATTACAGGTAGTCGACTAAAGGCAAAAAGCGCAAATGTCCGGTCAATTTGATACAGGAGTATCAAAATTTAAAGCGCAAATGTCCTATCGTGTTACAGGTAAAAATGCGCAAACGTCCTGTGCCCGTTTCGCCTCGGTTGACAATATTTTTCTCGGGGTAATAATCTGCTCTTAGACTATCATCCTCTCAGCTATGTGTTATTTATATAATGAAGTATCGAATTAAAGCATAACAATTTATTAACTGCTTGAATAAAAAAGATAACAATTGATATAAATAAGACTAGAATTGAAATGAATCAAAGAAGAAAAGCATACCCAAACACGTAGAAATACAATTAATAACATAGTTTCTCAAGTTTCTGCTATCCATTCCTTTCGGAATTTTGTATAATTACATTAAAAGTATTATTGTATTCATTAAATTTTTACAGTAGTTTCCGCTAAAAACGACATAATATTTATCTCTTCGTAATTCTTAACTGATTGGATATCCGTTACTTAATGGTAATACATTATGAATACGTGAAAATATAATTATGAAACATTTGATATGAAATCAATAAATAAAGTGAATAAAACGATTTTAATTACACCCGTGGGTACTATTGTAGTACACGTTCCCTTACATTGAATTTCAAATGTTATATCGCGTAATTACGCGTATTTAATAGATAACACTATATTAACAAAATATCAGTGTTCAATTTCAGTTGTAACTACTTGGTTATTCTCTCTACGCCAACAATAACGCATAGCGAAAATAGCCGAGTAGTTACGATTGTGTTCAATTGACGTCAATATGAAAAAATCCAAATTATTTCTGATGGAGATGGTAGCAACACATGTAAATAGAAACAAACAAACAAACAAACCTGTCATGATAAAAATAAGAAAGTATGTCGTCCAGGCGACAATAAGTCTGCAGTATGATTTTTTTTAAATTAAAAATGTTTAAAAATAGTATAGCATGTCTAAATGTTTAAATGATCATATTGGTAATGAAATAGTATTTGGAAACGGCGAATTCATTGCCACTATTCAAATTTTGAAGAAAAAAAATATTTGTTTTTCCGACAGAACAGAATAAAAAATAAGGAGATGTGATATGATTGCCAACGATACAACTATCCACCAAAGTTCAAATAAAGTTGATATAAGCAGTTATAGGCACTTGAAAGACCTATTAAAAACCCATTCCGTGGTCGCCTATAAAAGGCCCCGACATGAAAAATATAAAACAGTTCAATTTAGAAAACTAGTGGACTAATTTATAACAAAACAACTAACGTCAACCAACGACAACCATTGAACTACAGACTCCTGACTTGGGACTGGCACATAAAGAAGCATACTTTACGTAAAGACGACCATACAATTATGCACTAAAGATCGATATCCAAATGTATACGAAACAAATCTATCATACGGAAGAAAGTACATGAAAAGAAGAATATGCTTGCAGTTTTACATGAAATGAAGAGTTAGAAGTATTATATGCTCATTTGGTAATTGTGGGTATTATAGATCAAGGAGAGGCGGTAAAACGTCAAGATAAAACACATCAGTTATAATGCTGCGAAACAAAAGTTTATCAAAACAAAACATTAAAAAGGTCAGATAATGACCCGTATTATTCATAGAACGTTTCATATTAGTAATATCACCATTCACCAAAGGTAGGAAATTTACAGCCAAAACAGAAATTAGAAATTATGACATGCTACATTTTTCTTAATTATTTAAAATAGTTTTAGTACTGTCAATATGTAATATAATTAGCAGAATCGTTACTTACCAGGCTAAAACACCAATAAACTCCTGTTGCCTTAATTAATGTAATGAACATTGCACTTATTATGTGAAAAATAATAGCATTTAATGTTAGACGGTATTTTTTCGTTCTACTTGGAATGTCGTAAATACATCTAAATCATTGCAAAATGATACATCTAAACTCGGAAAATTCTAACATCTAACAGAAAGGGTTACAGGTGTAATATACTAAACAATTCAGTACACATTCATCCGTTAACCGAGGGTCTTAAGATTCTGAATTATTACAGATGTCCCTCTCCAAAAGAGAAGATCGTAGTTTAGAACATATACATGAGGGTGTGAATGTGGGTTTACAGAATAGAGAATAATGGGCAAAAATATAAAGAATAAAGAAAAATGAACCAAAAACAATTAAGAATAGAGAATAATGAGGTGCTAAAATATAAAAAATAGACAATAATGGGCAACACGTATAAAGAATTCAGAAAAATGGCATAAAAAATTAAAGAATACAGAAATGAAGGACCCCCATCCAGACCCTCATACATTTTGGAAATGTTTCTATGAATACAATAACACGCTGAACACACTGCTCCTTTTGAAGTTCAATGTAAGATAAATTCAAAATGACATAAACCTGCTATCGTCATCTGAGATAAAGTTTCCATTAAGTAGCCAATATAAGATGTGGAAAACATATTTATTATGAAGCAACATAAATAACAGTTTTGCAATAATTTACAATTCAGATAAGATTAAAATCTAGCGATTATTAAGTTTTCCAAATGGCGTTAGCTTGTTCACAATTGATTGCAGTTTATTTTATAGAATGGATAATTTTAGAGTTTATACATATTACTAATAACATCCAATTAGCATCACAGAAATGGCCATGTCTTTTCATTGATTTCCATTATTTCAAAATGCGGTTACCAAACTTATCTTAACCAATTTTTTGAAGCTCCTCTTAACCCCCAGCAAAATTACTTTCTGTTCCTCAAGAATTTTTGTTTCGCAATAGAGAAAAGGTGAAAATAAACATTCTTTGATTCATTAGTATAAAGTGTGTGTTGTGTTACTTATACGTATGTATGGGGTATTCTATTATATCAGAAATATAAAGTAAACTTATTTTTTATTTTTTTCTGGTTATCAGTTGTTGTTTATAAAGATTAAAAGGGGAACACTTACTTTTAAAACATGGGTTAACCTTGCCAAGTATTCACAAAGTTGTTCTATACAGGTGAACTCGTCATTGTTTTTCTTTTATTGAATAATGCTAATTTTCTAATTTGTATATCTGAACATTTATATTATTGAAATTTTTACATCTTACATGATCACTGGTAGTTGTCGGACTATTTAGACCGTTTAGTGCTGTATAGACCTTTATCTCATGTTGAAGACTGTATATTCACCATTAGATAAAAGTCTGGGTTTTTTTTTTGCGTCACTAGGTAGTTCCCCTATTAACGTATACTACTACACGTCATTTCTTGGAAAATTGAGGTCTTAAGGCAGACATAAACCCAAAATAGAATGTGTCAAATGCATGCATTGTCGTTTAGATTGGTAAACATTTGTCATTTCGGGGCCTTTTATAGCTGACTATATACGGTATGGGTTATGCTCATTGTTGAAGGCCGTTTTGTGACCCATAGTTATAAACTTCTATGTCATTTGGTCTCTGGTGGAGAGTTTTCTCATTGGCAGTCACACCACATTTTCCTTTTTTATAATGATTTGTATTAAGTAGCATATATATAAAAAATAAAAACTATCAAAGATACCAGGCTTATAATTTTGTTCGCGCAGAATAGTATTAAAGTCTATAAAGCGTTTCTTTACATATATCGCATATGATATAGTTGTAATCACAAAATGAAGTTTTCATCATTAAATATAACGCCATTCAGTGAGTTGCGACATTTTACGGAACTTTTCTAAATTGAAGAGCACAAAAAGTAACATTTTTACCTCCGTGCTTCAAGTTTTCCTGATTCCATAGCCGTGGCTTTTAAAAGCAATTTCCAATTGTCACCATATTCTTTTAATTTTTTAATACCTTATCTCAATAATTCTACACATATTGTAAGAATAAATACAGATACCAAATATTACACGTCACATACCTGGCTCACTTCGGGTTATGATTAATCCGATCGGGTAGGAAAAGGGGGAGGGTTGGCAGTTGTGAGCCATATTGGAAAATAGACCAATTATATCGAAACAATTATGTACTAAACATATAATTTTTATTTACATTTCTATAAACATATACATGCTATAGTTCAAAACATATTTTGAATGGACGGTTGGAGAAAGTCCATCAACAAACTTTCTTACGCTGACCAACTCAAAACTTATTTTATGATATGTATTCCTCATTGGCGTCATAAATAAGACGGAAATTATTACACTAGTGTAAGAATACTTTGTCCTACTTCATAGCAAGCACGTTGATTGGATAACATTTTGAATTTGCAATCATTCATTATGATCGAGTTTAATTTTGATTATCCCAGCAGTTTGAAATGGGAAAATTGTCAAACATATTCGTTGCCGATTGATAATTCCGATCGCAAAAGTTAGCAGTTACCATTTGCGACAGGTGAGCTATATTAATACGGATAAAAATAGAAAACTTAATTGAGCATTATGAATGGAAATAAAATTGAAGCTTGCAACATTACAACATCTAACAGAACCAACATGTGTTGCATAGGTATGAACATTTAGAATATAAACAAATATCCAAAATTAACAATATATATATAAATAAGTCAACAAGTCAACCGTATGGTATACTGATACTTCTGATAGGCACACATGTCCTTCAATTCAGAGGGAATAATGATAGTCTTGGTTAAGGCTCTTCAAACTGTAAAATATGAAGAAGAAGAAATGTTGTCTTTGGTACCAGACTGAAGTGTTGTCATATTCATTTTAACATTGTCAAATATCAGTTGCACGTAAGTGCCTGTTAGCTTTTCGGAATATTTCCTTCGGGTTTTGATATTTCGTTAACATATTTATAAAAAGAAACATCTATATTTTGTTTTTTATATCGCATATTATAGTTATTTGTTAAATCAAAATCAGGAATATTTAATCAGTTCAAAATGAAGGATCATAAATTGCTAAATTTAGCCCACTCACAATATTAATTGACTCAGATCCGTGAAATTACAGTAAAAGCTCATTTTCATTGGAAATATCATAAAATTGTCAGCAATTCGTGTTCTTTTAGAAGTGCTTACATGATTTAAGTCTCAAATTGATTTTCTATAAGAGTTATTACTTTGAAATAATGAATTCTGTCTAACCCTAGAGCTCTTGGTTATTATCTTTAAAGCAATAATAGATGAACAGAAACTGTAAATATCAACTACAGTTACCAATACAAGATTAACAAAATGACAATATAACTGAAACAAGTACTAGTATCCATCCTTATATGATTTATTGACCTTTTACTATGATATTGACATTTGTCATTTCGGGGCCTTTTATAGCTGACTGTGCGGTATTGGCTTTGCTCGTTATTGAAGGCCATACGGTTACCCATAGTTGTTAAAACATTGTAAGGGATAGAAACTGCAAACTGCACCCATATCAACACTTATTGTCATGACTAATTCTTACCGTCTCCCGATTTGAGTTGATAAATTATATTTCAATGAAGCAACGAACATGGCAACCTTAACTAAAATTGAAACATAAGGTTAAGTGCCAATTACTGCATTAAATATTGGCAGCTGTCATAGTGAGAATAACGTAACCGGGAGACTGGCTACTAATTGACGATGATAACGAGATGCAACACGACCGGTTGCAGAAACTGGCGATGCCAAAGATAGACAATGACTGAGACTTAGTCACTTGCCTAAGAATAATCGCTTTAACTCCACTGGTAGAAGTCCTATGCAGTAGTTAACAATTTAATGATTTCAATGGAATAAATGTAATTTAAATTAGGCGGATGTTGTCAGTACAAATGCCTGACTTTCACTGAAGTAAGAACTTCAGAAAGCATATTTAAAGTAAGAATTTTGCTAGGTTACAATCTCATAATAGAAACGAGTTTATCGAAAGACAATTAGATAATACCATTAGCACTTAAACGATTAACAAAAGAATAAAACAAAAATCTGTCGCTTGAGTTTTAGGCTGAAAAAGGGCTAATTGAAATGGCGAAAGGATTAATTATTCTTAACGTAGAAAACCTTTAGGACGATGTAAAACTGTTACTTTATCTATTATTTATCAAAAGTATTATCTTGAGAGAAAAATTTCCGTCTTTGTGAAAATATACTGACACTTAATTGTCACTAATAACACAAAAAGCTTGATGAAGAAAAAATCGTTACATGTTAATAAAATTACTTTTACGGACAAATATTGCAAATCAAATTATTTCGATAAAATAATAATCAGTTTAACAATATAAAGACAATTCATGACCGAACATTATGTCACTGAAAGTGCAACAATATCAGATTTAAATACTCTTTTAAATACTTCCAAAATGAAGATGCACAATTTACACAAATTAGGGCTATCACAAAAACTGAAATTTGACAATGAACAAAATGTTAAATGAGACGAAACTTTGTATTTCAACATTTTAAAAAATGATGCAGGATCCCAGGGGCCTCTAGTTTTTCTGGCCATGATATTGTCTTTCTTTTTTTCGACTTTTCAGTTTGATATTATTCTTCCGGCACTACAAGTTAGTTGAGAATAGTGAATGTTAATTATAGTGCAATATATTTGTATTACCTAAATAAATGGAATTAATCCATTCTCCACCACATTTCCGTGCTGGTTCTCCGCGGCAGTCCCAGCTGCATTCTGTTTCTTGAATTTTTGGATAGCTACTTTCAATCAGGACATCTCCACACAAACAATAGGTACTGGCCTACAAAATTATAAACTGTAATTGGTATACAGCTGGACATAAAAAGTGCGTAGAATATAGTTAAGGACTTAACATTGGCTACGCGAAATATGTGGGTTTTCGCCTATAGTTACTGAATACGAATTAAATAATAAAAAACAACTTCATTTAAAGAACCAATCTTTGACCTTTGGTCTGCTAACCTTTTCGGGGTTAACATTTAGAATATTGAAGAGATATTTAAAGTCGAATGATCTTCGGGTTGTTAGCAATAGGTTCATTACTGGAGTTTTCAAACTCTAAAGGAATAATACTTCCAATACTCGTTCAATTTGGTTTTCAGAGAATATGTCTTAAAAAAGATAAAGACGGTTGTTATGTGATGGGGAAAGCTAAAGCTTGTTCCTTTTGGCATGTGTTGGATTGGTTAAAATTCTACAGACAATCTTACAAAAAAATTTTATATATATAACATAGGTATTGGAATGACCAGGAAGGAATTTAAAAATTAAAAACAATACGAAGCAGTATAAGTTATATGAAGTATTTGTTTTCTCCAATTAAATATTTCTAAGTGAATAATTGATCTCTTATTCAAAACACATCACACTTTAGTCAACTTGAATAATTATATGCCAATTATATTAAAAATATTAATTGTACGGGGTTTTTTTTTTTTTGTAAATATGATTCCATTTGGAAATTAATTGTTCAGAGTTTTCTTGAATAGTTACTTTTTCTAAATTGTAAAAAAAAGTCTTATTAGGTTCCTGGGAATTTATGGTCTGTTTATAATTTTATATGGAAACAATCACGAAGTGATAAACAAGCAAAAGAAGTTATAAAACATTTCAATCTTCTTTAACATTATGATGACAGTATTGCTATGATTGTTGAGGGATATCTGATTGAAGGCGGGTCATTTGATATTTTGTCTTTTCGAATTTTCTTGTAATTTAATAATATGACTCTGTATCCGAAGAACAAACATGGCTTTGACTTTACTTGAGGGGACACCAATAGCTACAGATTTGAAACTAAATAATTAAAAAAAGCAGGAAATTATTTTGAATATTGACACATTTTTCAAGATTAGAGAATAATGATCCTAATGGAATATATCATTATTTGGCGTGTTACTTACATCGTCTGCATCTATTGTTTGCATACCATAAACGTTATAAATTGAGAAACTGATAAATTCATGAAATACGAGGAATACAAGGAACTAGCTAAGTAAAGTAAAACGAAGGTTCGGCGAGTTTGTATACGTATACCTCAAAGGAACCCAGGTACTCAATTAAGACGACAATTCTTACCACATCAATATAGATTTAAGGTCGAGGTACCGTCACAGATATTTGGAATACAACTTTGGTTCGTTGAACGTAAGAACAATCTATGAATTTGTTATTCTATATTTGATGGTTCTTCGAATAATGTAAGAATATTTTTCACGAATTGTATGTGATTTCTATATTAATTTGTATCTATTTTGAAAGAATTAGTCCCTTAATTTTTGAGGAAAAAAAAAGAGATAAATATTTTTCGATTTACAGTTAAAGTTCAACGAGCCAAAGTTGTAGGCAAAATTTGCCCTAAAGCTGTGACATATATAAAACTAAGGAGATATTGTATTATTTCCAATAAGACAACTATCAACCAAATTCCAAATGAAGTGTGTGTAAGCAATTGTAGGCAACTGTTCGACCAACAACAATGAGAAAAAAATACTGTATAGACGGCAATAAAAGCCCCGACATGAAAAATATGAAACACTTTGCTAGCGAAAACTAACGGCCTAATTTATAATTAAACAACTTATGAAAAACAAATATGGCAGACACGAACCAACGACAACTACTGAACTACAGTCTCCTAACGTGGGAAAGGCACATTAAGAATATGGCAGGGGTGAACATGTTTGTGAGCACTCAACAGCCCCTAACTTTTGGCAGTGGTGTTACAGCACACCATTAAAACAAACTATTAAAATCCGTCGAAAAGAGCTAAACTCGTCAGGTCGATACAAAGCAGAAAAACATCAAACAAAAACTCAGACCGGATGTAAACATGTGGCAGGCTATTTATACATCCCTAACAACCAAAACATCACAACGTTCAGATCTGAGAATCCTCACAGTTACTGACAGCTAATACTTAATAAATCATGTATCTAAGACTAAAAGACCTATCAGTTCACATTCAACTTGACATCCAATGGATTTAGTGTAAAGACGTAATTAAGAGTCAGAGAAAAATGTGACTTTGTGCAATGCCAAAATATAATAGGTATCTACAGATTGTAGTACCGTTAAAGTGCATATGTGTATAACAATAATATTCAGGATGGTTTTAATTTACTGATAACAAAATCAATATTTATACCAATAAAACAATATGCAAAGATATGATTACATTGTAGAATTTGTACCCTTTTGAAAAAGTTTATTCAAACGTCACGACAGACACGGGCATTGAGAACGAGTTGGGATAATAAACATCGAGGGACGGTGCTAAAGGAACATCCCATTCCAAAAAAGGAAAATAAAAGATATGGAAAGACAAATTGTCTCTTTTGTCGTAAATTTTTGTGTAGAGTTTCTGGTGTAAAACTGAAATATCTAAATCTAGGAAAGGACAGATATTGCTGTTAATATTTGATTTATTTAAAGTAACTTCCTTTGCTAAATTTCAGCAGTATATTTAGAGAATTCTTAATTATTTAACGAAACAATGTTACCAAGATAACAGTAAGTGTTGTTGAATTTATCAATTAATCGGAATTTAGACGGTTTTTTTTCTGAGTTTGGTCATACCCTTTGATTTATAACAGTACAGGAACAAATCTGTTATTAAAGGAAGACAATTGTTGCCCATAGAAATACCTACAACCTGTCGATTAACTTTATTGCCGAAACGTACAGAAATGTTGCCAAGGAGAAATCTACAGCTTTAATCATCTCATCGCACCTTCAGTAAGTATATCTAGCATAATTACCTTTCTCATTAGCGAAAAAAGGCTTAATATGAGATGCAGCAAATAAATTTGCAATCAGATTTATCAACCGACCGTTTAATTGAATAGTAAAACGTTTGCTTGATGGAATTGTTTGGAAGTGCATATTCCATTAACTGAACTTGACCTTAAATTGAATTTTGTTTATCCTGCCGGATAAAAACAGAGTTTTTATTAATATTATAAGATACAAACTTGCAAGCCACCAAATCGGTATCCACTGCAATGTTGCTTACAAAACGCAAGGGACATGTTTTCGCTGTATGTCTTTTTGTGTTTCAAGTGCCTGTTATTATCATCCTTGTAACAACCTAAGTAATCTGCTGTTTCTACAGTAAAAACGAGTAAAAGTTGATAATGGACAAATAAAAGAGAGGCGAAAGATACCAAAGAGACATTAAAACTCATGAGTCGAAAATAAAATGACAACGCCATCGCTAAAAAAGAAAAAGACAAACAGACAAACAACAGTACACAAAACACAACATAGGAAAGTAAAGACTTAGCAACACAAACCCCACCAAAAACTGAGAGTGATCTCGGGTGCTCCGGAAGTGCTAAAGATCCTGCTATACATGTGGCACCCGTTAACATATAAAATATGAATTCAACGATATCACTTTTATAGTGTTTTAAAGTGTTGATCGTAAAAGCAGCGTGTTTCCATGTTTATGATGGTTTGTCGATATTTTTGACTTACAATCGTGCGTTGATGTTTCTTAAAGTATCATTTGCTTCTTTTCATATAAAAAAAGAATGATTGGATTGTTTCTCCAATCGGTTATATCCAGACATATCTAAATGTGGCCTTCCTTTCTATGATTTTTTTTTTCAGTGAAATCCCCTGTCTTATATTTTCAGACTTTCCATTGCTAACCAAAAATAGTGAAGGTATATCCAGAAAAGCGCTTCGGACGCATGAAATTGATAACGTGTTGTTATCATTTTTTAGTAGCTGTTGTGTGAATATGCAGAACCCATTTTTTTTCGTCGGTAGTAATGTTTAACTTTCTTGTAAAAAGCTTTAATGTTGATATCAGATTTATTGCAACCGACATCCTGAATATACTCAAAATATTTGATAGTGGACATTCAGCAAACAACAATCAATCAATCCTCATGATCATATAACATAAGAAAGTAGAACGTAGTGTTATCAGAACCTTGTTAGCAAAGCATGGACACGGGATTTTTATTCAAATCAGATTGCTGTCCAACCGTTCAATTATTTGCAAAACACACACAAAAGATGAACTTCGTATAATAATGAAAAAAATCCAAATGAGCAATTGTTAAAGATGGTTTAACGTAAGACATTAAAAGTTAATTAAATAACTGTCAGTCCTTCTAGACCGTCAAATTTAATAGCCCCCTCCATCCTACATTAGAGACACATAGAGCAGAACACTTTTCACTTAACCTCGTAACCAAGGAAAGAATGACGATATAGTATTTATAATTAATTAATACATGTAAATAACTAAGCAATACTTTGATGCAAGATGTAATCTAGAATATACGACAACCCATTTACCCCGCTCCATTACCCCGCCAAAAGAAAATTAAAAAAAAAAACACAAAACAACAAAATTGAACAAACCAAAAGAAGGAAATTTTGTTCGAAGATATTAGCCACAATGTTTATTCACCACAGACCGAACTACCTTAATCAAGTTTTGCAACACGAAGACCGCTGAAATTTATGTTTTACATTCTCAAAGGAAAACTCATTTATTATCAACAAAATACTAGTAAAAACATTGTGTAATACCACCATGATACCTTCAGATGTTTTGAAATATGTAATTTGTTATTTTCTGCAGAGTAAATGTATATGTTTTCTCTTCAGCCTTGCTGAAAATGCTTTGAACAATTGCAAAATATGTCTGTCACAGCAATTTGCGTATATATATTTGTTTGATTGCAATAGTACCCAACTAGTTTGTTAGGTAACTTTCCTATCATTTTTTTTCGAATTTGTTTTTTAGTCAGACATTGTATGAAACATTAGGCCACTAAAATATATGTAAAACACAAGGGTAAATAAGAGATGTTATTATATACTTAGTAGTAAATACGGGTATATTGTACGTGTAATGTGATTGATGACAATCGTGCTGTTTTAGCCATCCGTGATAATATCGATACCTGTCCCGGTTACTTTATCAACCCTAATCTGTTTGACGTCACGTAATCGATATCAGTCACGGTTAAAAAAGCTTTATCAAACCCCTTATATGTATTACGTCATGTCTCAACCAATATAATCCCTCGTGCAGAGCACTTATGATTATAATGGTGTTTCGGGTTGATACAGGTGTGATATTGAAAAAGCCATATGATATTCTCCATTAATCTGCTTTGAAACATTCAGTCGGGTGGTAATATGGTTATACAACTACACAATGCTATCAAAATGATTGCTGACAGATAACGAGTAAATGCCCTTTATTAGAGCTATAAGACAATCATACCTAATTTAACACAAACTGGAAGGTCTTTATTCGTGATGACACAGGTTTCTCCAAATGAACAAGGATTTGGCCAACATGTGTCTGGTTCCTGTAAAAATACTCTTTATTAATTGGTTACATTCTGTCTGACCAAAGATTTTATCAATTGCATTTTATTTACATAGTTTCGAAATGGAAAGAAACAATTGAAAATTTCCTTGTGGTTGGCATGTGGTATTTAAATATGGGCAATAATGTGGTATTTTCGTATACTTCGTATTTTTCGGTCATGCAGCAATTAGAAATTATTATGCTGCCAGTTTGAATTATTTTTTGCTTAATAATACATTAGTATGTACGTTAAGCGTGAAAAGTTGAACTTTATCCCTCCCATGTTCTATAAAATTGGGTACACCAAGTCCAACACAATTTCTAAAAATGAATATTTATACGACTTTAACACCTCGTCGAGGTGTTCGACCATTCAGGTTGTTATCTTGGCTTGATGTTATTTACAGCCTCTTGTTTGTTACGTTTTGTTCTGTCTTGTTTGTTTAATGAGATCACATTGTTGTCAAGTAAATTTCTATTTAGATATGAGCATTCCTGATGGAGGAAAACTAATAAAAGGGCTTCGAACGCAACTTAATTTCATATTTAGTTTTAAACTTGCATTGTAAACCGAAAAAGTAAATGTACAAACAGTGATCAATTTATATTCCTTTCTTCAATCTTTAATGGACTAAATTCTGTACATCTGAGACAAATTTTGTTTTCATTTAAGACAATTGTGATGTGCTGTAGTTCTTTGTTGTCCCAATCTTCTTTCATAGTTATATTTTTGGTACGTTACTGTTGTTTTGGAAAGAGTTGGTTGAAGGTCATGTTAAGACTCATTTATGCATCGAAAACGGAAATATTGACATAAATCGGAATCAAATGACTGGATGAACACTCGAAACATATTTTCCTTTCTAAAGAATTTTCCAGATAATTCAAACCTAATAACAAAAAGCGAAGATTAAAAACTACACTGTTATTATCCTCAGGAAAAAGAGTCAAATTGTTTGATTTAATATAGAAAAGGAAAGCTTCCAAATAAAAATATCTCCAAACACACATTTGCTCGTTCATAATTTATTAAAGATCAAACTAAACAACAAAAGAAAGAAGAATCGAAAGTAATATTCAATATAAATTGATGAGACAGCAACCCTAAAACTCTAGTAGTTTACATATGGTTTTCAGCAATGGTAAGATTTACAATATATCAAGTTCTTAAAAACTTGTGATAAATCAACAGTTTCTGTCAAAGACCGGACATTTAGAACTAACATGGATATATTTGACGAAAGACAACCACAGCTCAGGTCATACTTGATTGAGGCACATGACAATGTGGCGGGAGTAAATTATTTTATTGAAGATCTAACCTCTCGGTCTTGTAATCTCGACCAGAGCTTAACACACCAAAGATCATACAATAACCTTAGCAGGAAAATCACTTAACTTTTCAACATAAGTTTAATAGAAAACAAAAACACAAGTAATAGAACAATCATTCAATTATTAATAAGAATGTGGTTGTTACTCTTAGCAAGCTCACAGTTCTCGTTCTGCTTAAATGAAACCAAGCTGTCATTGACCAAATAATCGGTGGTGATAATTTGAGCGCTGAATAAACCTGTTCAGATTATCAATGCAGAATGGAGGAGAAGAGAACACTCCAGTCTTGCTTGAACTTAAAATGAGCGAACTGATGTTAATCTCTAAAAGTACTAGGCTTAAAAAAACTGTTGTATGAGTATTTTAGCTTTTATCTTTGTGTCTATCTAGCAAGCAAGAGATATGTAAGACAGAGTAGGTATCTACCGTCAACCTGGAACTTTAAACAACAGAACAATTTGTAATGCAATAGGCAAAAATGTTACTCATTTATAAAACTGTCCATTTACATGCAGAAAATTATGTGATTTTATCTTTTTTTTTAATAGATACCAGGTTTTGTGTTATCAATGTTAACACAGACAGTTTAGTCTTATTAAGGAGTGTCCATTTTTATTTATATTTGTCGTTAAATTCTGTCAGGTGGAAAAAGATATTCCAAAATGAATATAGTAAATTGATATTGAACCACGCTTACATCAGGCAAACTGAGAAATAAACAATACATATAAGAACATAAATCAGCAGAATATTACCACCAATGAGAGGCAATGCACAAGTTGTTCGGTTTATCTTAAAACATATCGGAATGCTAATCACTTGTTTGAACTTTGATGGACAAAAACCCTTTGTATATCATGTGTACTCAACACTTTAACTAAAACAGATTTGGCTCGTTTAATTTTCATAACATTTTGACAAAATATTTTATTTGACCTGTTGACAAAAATATGAAAAATGTCACACAATTTACCGAAATAATTTCATTGGATATATATCAGTTTGACAAACACTAATTTTGAACAATGAGAACTTGATTTCTCTTTGCTAATAGTATGTGATTAAAACGTTCGGCTGATTTTTAAAGAGTTGAATCCCTTAGGTGTTCTGTACCCCTTAATATATATGTTTTTGCTCTACGTTATGTTATTTCAAAATTAATTAGGCAGAACATAACAATACAAAACTGTGGGCTCTACATATTAGAAGAAAACTCCAATTTCGATGGACTGCACAATCCGTCAAAATATGTACATCATACATGCATGTGCATATACAGTCATAAGTTCCAAAAACTTATAATAAAAGTATAAAAAAACATAAATAAATGACTAGAAAAATTTGGCAAATGTGTATAATTTTATATGTGAATGTTCAGAGCTTTTAATACTGCTCTCTTTTAAAAAAGGGAAACATAAACACATGTTTCGCAAGTACTTACTATCGTCCATGTTGACATTTCTGAGTACATGTAATGTTCCTTATCTACTGGTGTGGCCTGTTGAGTCGCGTTAAGCAGTTCGCAGTATAAATGGCTTTTTACGAAGTTGAAAGCAGTACATCCAGCGTACCTAGTGCATCTTAACATGCACATTCTTGGTCCCACATTGAAAAACACTTTCAGTATAGGGGACTCCAGGTACTTGCCACTATGAAAAATGCCACCAATTACTACATACACCATTGCTAGAATTAAGTGAGTTACCATTGCTTTGATAATCAACATTGTCCTAGAACGAATACAAAAATTTTCAATGTTGAAATGTGTATATTAATAAATCCCTAACACAAATCTGAAACAAATCAAAGTATATTTAATGTGCAAACGTGTATATTGATTTTTTTTTTATCTCATTCCGTTTAAAAAAATCAGATTGTCATACATTAATGAACGCATGTTAGTATATAAAGGAGAAGGCCCGGTAATTACAAAATGTCAAAAATCTTTCATCAGATGTACTTCGAATTTTAGGCCGAAATAAGTCCTTACTGGACCTTCTCCTTTACTGTGAATATAAACTAAATAGTTAAACCGTAAGTTATACTTAACAAATCATTTACGAACTTGTTATGTCTACAGAAGATGCATTAGTGGCGCTCGAATAGAAATAGTTTTAAAGAAAAAATAAATAATGGAGTTGATATACATTTAAACCTATACATTCCAAACAATTGTGCAAAACTGACTGTTATATATGCCTTGTTGTAGTCAGCTTCATGTTTCGAATAATTCTAACATTTTATAAAAAGTAGTTTACAAAACATTACGTATAAAAGATATGTTATGTCAGCGCTGCTGACTATTGGGCTGATGATACCCTGGGATGAATATACTTCACAGCCTTTAATTTCCATACTTATTAATCATTTCTCGTGCTCACTTCAGGGGTTTTACATCAAATTATTGAAGCTCCTTTACAATAACGACCATAAAAATAACCAAATAGATTGGTTAAAATCAACAAATAAATAAACGATTAAAATCAAAACCGAAGGGGTTACCAATCAAAAAGGATATATTTACCTTGACAAGTGGAAAAGCAGTACATAAAAAATATCTGTCGTCCGTTCTATATTTTTAACGTGTTGTAGACTAAAATTAAAGGTATATGGATAGGTACATTTTTGTTTCCCTTTGTAAATATCATCCAGTAGAAATTGAGTAAAACAATCCGCCTTCATTTATTTTATAGGCCTTCTCATCTCTACATCGGTTAACATAATATATAGTTTATACATCATGTGAAAAAATTTTAAACATATTTGTTCGTACTGGTATTGAAGTTCAACAGCTTGTGATGTAGTCTCGTTTGTATTAAATTTCAACACTTCGTATGAAAATATAATGGATCTGCAATTTAAATGATTCCAATATAAAAATCAATCTAGATTAAACAAAAAGCATAACGTACGCATCTTAAATAAGTAATAGAGTGAAATTGGTATACTATTTCGAGTTTCAAAGAGGATAATATTCAGAAATTGTTCAATAATCTTTATTAAATTGCAAACTAGTTTGAATTAGCAGTTATTTCATAGAGCAGCTAGTAATTCATAGAAACAAAAACACCGATGCATTGTTTACTAAGTGAAGCATTTAAAAGGGTAAAAAGATATTTAATCGAAAATATTTCTCTGTTTCACTTGTTATTTATTAACATGGAACCGATAAGTATAGAAATGGTTTCGATATAATGAGGGTATTTATTATTAATTTCAAACTTATTTTGAAAATACTTATATATAACTTAAGTCGAATGCGAACAAGAATGTATAACTCGCCAACTTTTATACAACTTTGAAATCGATAAACATCAATGAGTTATTGTATATTTCAGTATGTTTTTAAACATTGTTAAATATTTGCTTGATTTTTTAATTCAGGAAAACCTTCAAAGGTTATTTCATTTTAATATCATCCCATGAATGCATCGATACCATTAACTGCCTCATATAAAGATATGTTGCAATTAAAATAAGTCTTTGTACGATATAGAATCACTGCAACAAGTTTATTATGGTTTCAAGAGACGCCTGTTGCAAACTAATTTCTTCTTCTATCCAGCGTGCCCCTTTTCCCAGTGCAATACACATTTCTCTTCCATCATCTTGATCGTCCCACTATGCAGAAATGACCTATTGAATATATCATTAATTCTGATTTCCTAACAAATATAAAAAAAATATCTAAAAATGGACCCATTCACATACCGTGAATTATGGATCGTAGTCAATCTCAAGCATCCGTAAATAACTCGCTGGTATCCGTAAATAACTCGTCACAACTCGCAGATAAGCACAGACACTCTTAAGGATCCTTGAAAGAAGAGGCAAATGTTTCACATGTCAAAAATCTTTTCACGATTGTCAATGGAGTAATCTTTCCGTAAATAATTCGTAACAATCTGTAAGTATCGCAAACCGCTCGTAAACCGCTCGCAACAACACGTTACTATCCGTAAACTGCTCGCAAGAATCCGTTAATGACTCTTGACAATATGTTTTCATGATTTCCTACAGTTTACGATTTAATTACGGATTATTTACGCATAATTACGAGTGCTTACGTGTTGTTTACGATTTCATTCTAAGCGTGTTACGATGGCGTTACGAATTTACGAGTTATAACGAGCTTTTTACGTGGTTACGAGTACTTTACGAATAGATACGTTTACCGTACGTATTCTTACGTATTGTTTACAAATTGGGAAAAGATATAAAATCTCGTAAGGACTCGTAACTAACTCGTAACTATTCGTAACAACACGTAAACAGGTTGTAAAATAAGTAAACACTTCAATGAATAGAAACTTTCCGTAATATACTCGTAACAATCCGTAAAACGCTCGTAAAATACCCATCCGTTGCTCGTAGTTATCCGTGATAACTCGAAACAAATCGTGGAGTTTTGCCGTAAATACATCGTTATAACTCGTAATAATCTGTAATAAACCGTAGGTAGCTCGTTACAACTCTTAAATCGATCGAAAAAGTGGCAAAATCGTAAGGATCCTTGAATTTGTGCGATCCTTAATGGCTCGCAGCAAAAATCAATTTATGTGAAGGGGACATTAGCAAAAGACAATCAAGAAAACAAGCTAGTCATTATAATCATGCATTTTAGTCATCTCTAATTCTATACTATTAAATAATGTTATGAGGGTCTGTTTGGATGGGTCCTCTTCTATTATTTTTTCAGGCATTTTTCTTTATTCTTTATTGTCTACTCATTATTTTCTTTGCTTTATATTTCAGCAGCCCATTGATCTCTTTTATTTCTTTTTTTTTGGCATTTTTTTATTGTTTGGCCAATTATTCTCTTTTCTTTTCTTTCTTTAAGATATTCATGTATGTTTTGTGCATGTACCTTTCCAAACAGTTGATGTTGAAAGGATACCAATAATTTCGCCGTTTCAGAATCTAATGCATCATGGGTAATATTCTTTGGTGTACGCTGCGACGCCATTTTGTTTCTAAGGACGCCATAACGTTTACCGTAACTGGTACAAGAAAACGTCAATTATAATGGGTTGGACATGTGCCGTTTGCCCAAATACATCCAGAAATTCACAAACCTTGAGCTTTTTCAGAATTCCAAAAAACAAATTACGAAAAAAGTGGTTAAGTGCCTTAAACTTAGAGGAAGAAAACGTCAATACGGCAACAAGAATTTGTTCTGAACATTTTTTCGCTGGTGAAAAAGTTCTGAGTAATGGTATTCCCGACCTGTCAATTGGCAAACAAATTGGGAAAAAATGTGAGCGCAAAACTCAAAAGATAGAAAAAAATCTAAAGTAAAGCTAGATTAACCAGAAGCAGATGATAATTCAACTTTCTTTCACAATGAATCTCGGTCTCAATTACCTTTATTGCCTTCTGGTGACGCTTGTCAACCAAACCCCACGGCCACGGAAAATGAAATAGAACAGAACAAACTGAAAGAGAAAATACGAGATCTAGAAAAAGCGCTAGAACAAGAAAAAATTATAAACACTATCTTATCAAATGAAAAACATATATATGCTCAGTAATAAACTATACAGATATAACAATTTCAAGAACAGTGATACAAAGATAAAAGAATTAACCGGCTTACCTGATAACCACACATTTGAGATACTATTTACACTATTTGACAAACCTAAACAGTATTGGTCTTATGATAAGAAGAATTTGGATGGAAATTTTGGTAGACACAGAGCTTATCAGCACAAGACGAGTTTTTTATGTATTTACTGAGGCTACGACAAGACATAAGTGAAACCGTTCTTTCTTCTATGTTCAATATTTCAATATCTTCTGTTTCATGTATTTTGTCAACATGGGCCTGTCACATCAAATCAATATTTTCAAAAATTAATATGAACCCTACAATGGACGAATTACAGACATTATGTCCCCCTGATATACTTAAAAATTTCCAAACTGCGTTATGATTTTGGACTGTACAGAATTTGAGGTTGATGAGCCTAGTGAACTTGATAAACAGTCGGTATTTTGGTCCGAATATTGGAGTCGTCATACGGCAAAGGTATTAGTTGGTTGCACTTTATGGGAGTCTTTATCTTTCATTTCCGACCTGTTCCCTGGCAGTACAACAGATGTTGAAATGTGCCAAAAGTCAGGCTTGTTAGATAATATTAAATCTGGCGAGGTATACATGGCCGACAAAGGTTTCACCCTTCAGAGACAGTTTCAAGAAAAGGGTGCGCAACTTCTGGTTCCTCCGTTTGCCAATAAAAATAAGAAACAATTCAACCCACAGCAGGTCGAAAAAACAAAGCACATAGCATCTACCCGAATTTTTGTAGAACAGGCGATAGGTAGAATTAAATCGTACAGATTCTTAACCAGGAGAATTCCGATATCTTCGTTTCAATTGGCTTCAATACATATACAAAACATCGCTTACCTTACAAATTTCCAACGTGCATTTGTCACCGCTGCAGATCCTATACTTGTCGCTCGCCGTAAAGTGCTCATTGAAAAGTTTTGCAAACAGCTTTTAAATGAAAGCGAAGAAAACACAGAGGAAAACATAGAAGCATTTTATATTGCAGAGCCCATTGTAAATTTAGAAAACGTCTGTGACGGTGACCCTGACATTCCTGAGATTGACGTCAGAGTGTATGACGACGAGCTAGTGCTTGGGTTAGTCGACTTGTTAATTGAAGGGGAGATTGAAGCCGAAGAAGTGTACATCATATGTTAACATGCAGATCTCAAATCCGAAAACATTAAAGAGATAAATAATACCTCTAAACTTCACTCTTTGTCTATCATTAGCTAATATTAAGAATGCAATATTCAAACGTTGGTCATAAGAAATAATTACTTGCAAAACAGAGTTAAACTGACATCTGAATAGCAAACATGTCATGCTAAAATAGACAACAGCAAACAAACAAACAATCAAACATACAAACAACAGTGAAAATTGAAAAAAAACAGGAAAAGAAACAGACACGAAACAAAACAATACATACATAGCAATCAGCAACAGAAAAAGAAAAGATTGGAACATATAATTACATTTGATTAAATAATATCTCCATCTATTTTCCCGGTGATTTAATTTAGAACTGGACTGAAATTTAGTTATAAATTGTACTGTGATAACGGGGTAACGGCCCGCATTATAGCATCATTTGAAATGCACATTTTTCTCTTGAATTCTATGAATATTTGATATATAAAATCAGTCTCATGTGTAGTCATTAAAATTGTTAGAAATGAATAGAGATATTTCAATAATAAAAAAAGATCAGCACCCTCCCTACATTATATACATGCATTGTTTGCACCTGTCCTAAGTCAGGAATCTGATGTTCAGTAGTTGTCGTTTGTTGATGTGGTTCATAAGTGTTTCTCGTTTCTCGTTTTTATATAGATTAGACCGTTGGTTTTCCCGCTTGAATGGTTTTACACTAGTAATTTTTGGGGCCCTTTATAGCTTACTGTTCCTTGTGAGCCAAGGCTCCGTGTTGAAGACCGTACTGTGACCTATAATGGTTTACTTTTATAAATTTTGACTTGGATGGAGAGTTGTCTCATTGGCACTCATACCACATCTTCTTATATCTATTGGTTGGTCAGAATGAATATTTGTTTCTTGGTTGGCACGAGAACACATTCAGTTTTACATATAGTTACCTGCAGCGTCATACATGTCATAGTAGTTTATTTTTATCC